GGGGGGTCGAGCGACGTGAGGCCGGAAGGGAGTGGATGGCAGCACAAGCCGCATGACGCCTTCGCCGTCCGGCTTTTCGGCCAGTGCTCCAGCATGTGCTCCGAGGGCAGCTTGAACGACGGGTGAATCTTGGAGCCGTTGGACGACTTAAAGACGGGCACCCATAACTGGAGCACGAGATCGCACTCAGTGGCTATCGCCGACGGAGGCACAAGCGTTACTCCTTGCGGCACCGGCGTCAGCATCGCTTTAGACGCCACGGTAGTTTCGAGAGAGAGCACGCGATAACGAACCTGTGGCGGTACATTGACGACTGCCGACGCACCCGAAGTCGACGCGTGATCGAAATCGCCCCCGGCCATGGCCATTCGATTGATGAGAAAGGAGAAGCGCGGATTTGGAGGCACGCATACGTGCGCAACCTTGGCAGGCGGCGATAAGGGCTCGTCCACGTCGCAAACGGTGGCGAGTTCTCGAAAGTTGCTGTCGACCTCTGCAGTATGCTCCCCTTGCAAGGGCTCGCCGCCGCTGCAGCCGACTCTGTCGGCCGCCGAAGTCAAGCACGCCGTTTCGTCGGCATCGAGGCGTGGGTGCAAAGCGCCCTGGAGCCAACCGACGTCGCCTTTGGCGAGCAGCGCGTTGCTCGTGCACCGGAAGAAGGCTGGACTAATCTCGTGCAGCTGCTGCGACATCACCTGAAGACTGTATGCGGTCCTCTCCAAGGTGGATCGGCTCGCTGTGCGACCCATCTCGGGGAAGCGGCGCTCAACGCTGCGCACTGTGCACGCCGGCGGCCGCAGCAGGACCACGACACGCAGGTCGACGCCCGCCTCCTCGCTCAGCCCCGACAGTATCCTAACGTCGGGCTGAAGCGACACGTGCGTGCCAAAGTTCGGGTACGACACCATCCCGACCCCGTTGTGCTCTGTGCCGCAGTTGAGAAAGACCAGAGTCGGCTTTCGGCTCGCGCGGAGCCGCTCCCGGACGGTGCGGAGGCGATGGGCAAAGGCAGAGGCGAGCAGGCTGTGCCGCCCGCCAAAGAAGAGCGAGGTTGGAGAGGTGCCGTTTGCGAACAGTAGGCTTGACAGCGTCGCATCCTCCACGCAGAGCACTTGAGCGCGTTTGCCCTCGGATGTGCCAGAATCGGAGCAGCTTCGGAACCACTGCTGCCAGACGTGGTGCCCAGAACCCTCCACCCCCATCACAAAGATGAATCGGACGTTTGCGTCAGAGATCTTCTTCGTCTTCCCCCTCAAAACCAGGCTCGAGTACCATCCGGCGTCCCCCCGTTCTGCCACGGGGACGTCGCCCACAGCAGCGTCCTGCAGAGCCAGGGCTTTTGCCCACCGCTCCGGGTGCAGAACCTGCGCGGCAGCAAATGAGGCGAGCACCGCGAGCATGGTCGCACGCATCGCACTGGCTGGGCGCATCGTCATCGCGCGTTCTTCCAGCCTGGGGGGGCCCGCAGGACATGTCGGAGTTTGGAGGAAAGACAAATCCGCGGCCGTAATCAACAACAAAGCTCCCTCGCACGACACTGCGCTTAGAAGATCGGCCCGCGAGGAATGCTAGTCTGAGCCCGATCCGTCGCAGTGCTCTTGCGTTCGGCGGTTAGTGGTGCACAAACCCCGAGAAACCCTTCGCAGTCGCTCCTCATCGCAAACCCTGTCACTGAGAGAGAGTAGCTTGACTTTTGTTTTTTTGAGCGCCTTCGTTGTTAATAATACAAGCCAATGGTCCCTGGTCGCAGTCATTCACACACACACGCCGCACCGCACCGTGCGCCCGCCCAGGGCGGGAAAGAGTTTGTTTTTTTGCCCAGTCAGCAGTCTTCCTCCTTGGAATGCATACATGTTGGCGACCGAGGAGACAGGGATTTTAACAAGAAAGAAACAAACGGGGTGCGGGAGGACGGCACGCCGCCACCACACAAGGGAGAGGAGTGTGGTGCCATCCGGCGTTACATGTATTCCACAGGTGTTCGCGCGTTTTTGTCCGGCGCCCGACTTGTTGCGCACACATCGATAGGAATCCTATGTTGCGCACCGCCCAGCAACTTTCGCCGACGGCTCATCGCTTGCCCTCCAGTCCGCTGCCGACGGCTCATCGCTCGCCCACCAGTCCACTGCCGACGCTTTATCGCTCGCCTGCCAGCCCACTGCTCCACTCGCACTACCACTATAATCGCTCGCGGCTGCCGCGCTCTCGTGCCGACCCGTGCCTCTCCAAGGTGGAGCCGTCGGCCACGTTTCTGCTGGTCGCGACGGCGTACGAGCAGACGCACAAGGCGCAGGGCGTACTAGCTGACGCCGGCTTCTACGCCGAGGCAGCGGGAAGGGTGCTGGTGGAGCCAGCGGTGCAGGACAGCCGCATCTACGACCCGTGGGCGGCTGGGTGGCGCGGGCTATCGCTCTCTGACTACTGGACGCTCACCACACTGTGCAGGAGCACGCGACTGATGCGGCTCAAACCGTTCCTGCTCCACGCAACCGCCTCCGCGCTGGCCCACTCGCGCGTCGACCTTCACGTCCTCTCGCGACTCAACCAGCCGCTGATGCTGCGGGGGATGGCGCGCTCACTGGCGGTGGACGCGTCGGCCGAGGAGGCGCGCAGCTACTTTCGCGAGGCGGTGGCCGCGGCGGCCAGGCGGAAGGATGGCAGCGACGCGCCACGGCTGGTCGTCCTTCATGACTTGAAGCGCCATCGTCCGGGCGACTATGCGCGGATCCGAATGGAGACACCGCTGCCTCTGATGCAGCAAGCGCACGCCCTGGTGCCGCAAGACACTTGATGGGACAGGCGGAGGCGGGATTGTTACACCTCTGGCTGTGAACAGGCGCACAGCGCCCGGTCGTTTGCTTGCGTGCAGTGGCGGACGGAGGGGAGCCCGATGCAGTCGACCGCAGCTTTCGGCCGATGCGCGAACGCCCTCGCCGGGGCCTCCCTCTCCCGCATGGTCTCAGCAGCCGGGCCATATCCAGTGACCGAGGCGGTTCTCCTCAGTGACCTGATCGAGGGCAACTCGGACACGCTGCACAGAAGCGCGGCGCACGCGGCGGCGAAGGCGGTGCTCTTCAGCCGGCTGCGCCTCTCGCCGCTGCAGCGCGCGTTCCGCGCCGTGAACGATTCGGGCGTGCGGGCGATGCTCGAGCTGCACGTGTGCGCGCGTGCCGCCATCGTCGTCACTTGTGCCCACCCGCAGCTCATGGCGGCGTTCGGCGTCGAGGGACCCGCTGCAGGGCAGCGGTCGAACTGCTTGGGCTGTGTCAAGGCAAACAGTGGCTTCACGCGACACCTCGTAGAGACGCGCGCGAGGCTGCAGGCCCGCGCGCACCAGAGCCTGCGGACATACTCGTGGTAATTATTTTTGCCCGGCGGCATGGTGGAGATGGGCGAGAGAGATTCGCTCTCCCGTCTCCGTTTTTATATGTGTTTTTTGTGTTCTCAGTTTTGGGGGTCGAGGGTCGTCCCACGTCCGCATCCGGCGGCACTAACGACGCGCACTGAGCTTTTCGTGCGACTACCGACATCTGACGCGTGTTCATGCGGTGCAGTTGGCGACGGTATATCATTTCCCACTGTGCCACGTCGCCCATCCCGCCGGATGGGCGACGTGGCATAGTGGGAAATGATATATTGCAATACCGTCGCCAACTGCATGCGGGGATGGGGATGGGGATGCGCGTGATAGGTGCGGCGTTGCGCGCGTTGAGACCCGCGTCGGCAGCGTGGCGAATCCCGGTGCCAGGGCTGCGTGACCTCGAGCTGCGCTCCACGCTTGTGTCGGCCGGACCGACATGCATGCGATTCCGTCGATCCACACCACCGTGCCGGTCCGCGAACTTCAGGCGCTCTCTCCTCCCGGCTCCTCCTCCTCCTCCTCCGCCCACCGCGTCCACCGCGTCCAATCGTTGCCCTCGCTCCGCGCCATCCCGATGCGCTGCACCGCCCCCTCGGCGCCGCGGCCGACGTAGTACAGCCTCGCGGACCCGTCGTCCATCGGCACGACCTACGGGACGCGCCGTGCACGCGTCACTCGGACATGTCCTGGACGTGGCGTACCCAGCCTCCGTCGGCACGACCCACGGCCGCGCCACCGCGACGCCGTCCCACGCGCCCGGCTCTGCCGACGGAGAGAAGACTGGCCCCGCGCCTACTCGCGGCCGTTGCGGTGAAGAGGGGCTGCTCACACCCGTGCCGCAGCAAGCAGGCGGGCCCCGCGCCAACCCTCTCCCAGCTCAGCCCGTCGGCGGAGCGCGCGAGTCCAATCGTGTGCGACCTGAAGGAGGCCGACAAGGATGACGACACCGTCCCCCGGCGTGGCGGGCGGCGGGGGCGTCGTGAGGCGCGTGCGGAGCGGACAGCAGCAGCGGAGGGAGGCCGGGGCGGTAGTCCGGCGGTGGGCGTGTGTGAGGGACGTGTCTCGGACGTGTCTCGGAAGTGTCGCCCTCACCGCGCGGCGTCGACCGCCTCATAAAACATGAGCAGCTCGGCGCCCTTGCGCACGACGCAGCGCGCGGAGACGCCGCCGGCATCGAAGCTGCCCTCCGGCCCGGCGGTGAGGCAGTAGCCGTCGCGCCTAGCCGAGGGGGAGGAAAGAGCTCCTCCTTCCGCCCGCTGGGTGTGGCACCAGGGGGGGCGGCGGAGGCGGGCGAGCTCGCGCCGCGTCCACTTGACGCAATCGGAGGAGACTGCGCTTCCGATGGCGAAGCGGCCGCTCGCCTGGGGAAGCAGCTCGTGCGTGCGTGCGTGCGTGCGTGTGGGTGTGCGTGTGCGTGTGCGTGTGCGTGTGCGTGCGTGCGTGCGTGCATGCGTGCGTGCGTGCGTGCGTGCGTGCGTGCGTGCGTGCGTGCGTGCGTGTGTGTGTGTGTGTGTGTGTGTGTGTGTGTGTGTGTGTGTGTGTGTGTGTGTGTGTGTGTGTGTGTGTGTGTGTGTGTGTGTCTCGCTTGCTCTCCTCGTCGAGGGCGTGGTAGTACAGCAGCCATGACTCCTCCTGGTCACCGCTGGAAGGCAAGCGGAGTGCCTGTGGCTAGCCGACGAAGGGTCGCCCCGAGATCGTCCGAGATGTCCCGAGATCAGCCGAGGCTCGCCTGCGGCCAGCCGACGAACGACTCCCCCTCGGCGGGCTCGAGCGCGGCGCCTACTCTCGGACAATCTCGGACAATCTCGGGTCATCTCCGGGTCATCTCCGGCCGCAGCACGAGCAGCGCGCCCGACGGATGCTCGCCCTCGACTCTGCCCCAGTGGACTCCGTCGTTGCTCAGCGCGACGCCGATGGACATGCGGCCGCCTGGAGGGGCAGTCGGGCGCAGCAGTCGGCGAGGGTGGCGCGAGTGCTCGTGCGTGGGCGAGGGAGTGAGTGAGCGCTACAGGAAGTGTCTCGGAAAGTGTCGGCTGCCGCGTGTCGGGGCGCCGGCGGGCGCGTTGGCGAGCTCCTCGCCGTCGCCACCAAAGTAGAACCTGCGGCGCGGGAGGGGGAGCGCCGCAGTGCGTGGCGGGTGCGGATGACGAGCCTGGAGGTGTCTCGGAAGTGTCTCGGAGGCGTCCCGCACATCCAGTAAAGCCCGAGCCCATTCTGGATCACGCGGCTGGACATGACGTGCACATCGCCCACGCCGACGTGCGAGGTGTCGAAGCCCCACCACTCATCCTCGTTCGGGACCAGGCACGCGCCGCCCGCCTCGTCGCCCGCCAGCCGCTCCCACACCACGCCATCCGTCGACTGCGCGAGCCCGACGGCGCCCGTCGCCAGTGGGACCACGTCGCTGTCGAAGGAGGCTGAGCGGCCGGAGTACCAGAGCATCCACCGGTCGCCCGCCATCTCATCCGTGAAGCGGCGGACCACGCAGGAGCCGAGGGTCGCGCCATCCCACCAGTCATCGCTCTCGACGCCGCCTCGTGGAACTGGCGCTCCCGCGCCAGGGAGCACCTTCCGGACGCCCGCCGGCTGTGGCGAAAGAAGTAGTCCGGCGCGCTGTGCAGTCGTGAGTCTACTCTGCACGTTGAGCGCGGCGGCGGTGGCGAGGAAGCTCAATGCACATGCTCGCGTGTGCTTTGAGCTCGTCATGTCGGAGGGCGAGAGAAAATGGGTGCATGATGCAGGAAGCGAGAAAAGGTTAACCGAAGTGGCCCCAAGCTGGGAAAGTGGGAATCCGACCCGCGAGGAACCGGCGCTGTTTTGGCTAACTCTTCGCTATTAGTGATCAGGAAATTACTAATTAGAGACAGAGTAAGGAGTAAGAATGTGTGAAAATAACGCACGGGCCCTCAGCGGAGCTGGGAATACATGTAGGAGAGTAGGACCGCCGAGTGATCCGTGGGATAGCTAGAAACCATGTGCCAGAGAGCCAGAGAGAATGCGCTGTTTTGTGTGGATTGAGCGCACGCACTGGCCACAGCACGTCATCTCATGCGAATTGCCTTGCGATGAGGGATCTCTGGGGCAGGAGCGGAGGGGAGGGAGAGGGCGGCTCGCACGCTGCGCACTCCGACGACCGACGTGCCTCTCCCCAGCCTGTGCGCAGCCGTGCCGCATTATACATTCTCAGTACGTAAAATCACAAAAGCAGGAAGCGGGCTATAGGGAGATAGCATACACGTACTTTGTGCACACAGATAAAGTTTTCCGCTTGCCCCTCTCAGAAAGGCAGGCGCCTGGCGCCTTGCGGCCAGACGAGCGACCCCGCGTTCGACTCGCCGATGAGGCAGTCGATCGAGATGTCCGCCGAGAGGCCCGAGTAGGAGACACGTCGGTTGCCGAACGGGTCCAGGAATGATTTGGAGAGCTCCAGCAGGCCGCGGTAAAAGAGAGAGATCACGCCCGTCATTGGGATAGCAAAGATGCCGAGGTGCGGGTACAGCCCGAACGGCGCGATCAGCAGCAGGATGTCCACTAGGCAGTGGGTGAAGTGCACATACGCAAGCGGCATGCGGGCGGCAAGCTCATCGGGGATGCTCATGCAGGCTGCGCGCAGGTCGCAGCACTTGCCGAGCGCAACCTGCTCGAAGCCCGCCCCTCCGGTCAGCACGCCCTTTGCACGCGCCGCCGCAAGCCGCGAGGTGACCCAGCCCAGCACCACGAGGTACCTGTGCGACGGGGCGCGAGGGATGCGGGTGGGGCAAGGTCGCCGCCGCCGGTATCGTGTCTCAGCTGTATCTCGGCTTCACGTCGGCTATATCTCGGCTGTGTCTCGCGCCATCGCGAGGGCGGCAGTGCCACGCCGACGAGGGTGTCGTACTCGCGCCGGTTGAGCAGGCCGCGCTCGAGGAGACGGTCGAGGCCGGGCGCCTGCAGAGGACGTGTCCAGCGCGCGTCAGGGACACGTCTTGGGCAGGCTGCGGTGCAGCGGTCGAGGCGGAGCCGTGCGCGAGACGCGGTCAAAGGAGAGCAGCAGCCTCACCTGGCCACACCAGCGCGGCTGCGCTCAGAGGGCAGGGGTGCTGGCCGAGCAGCCCGAGGGACGGCGGGCGGCCGCGCCGATGCGATCGCCGTCTGGCTGCCCGCCCGCACCGTCTTGCGGTAGCAGATGTCCGCGTAGAACAGCACGTGCAGCAGGCGGAGGTTGCGCGCCGTCGACTCGAGCAGCTCGAGCGCCTCCGCGTCGAGGCCGCCGTCGTCGCTGCGCCGGGCGTGCGACGCGCAGAGCAGGCCGATGTCGTTCAGCCGCCCTTGCAGCGACCGCGTCAGCTTGTACGAGCGCCGCCAGAAGTCATGCGAGTGGCCCACAAAGAATGTGGTGACGAACGTCGTTAGCGTAAGCAAGTAGTTGTAGCCGTCGGAGACGGCGAAAAAGGGCTGACCAAAGGTGTGCTCCTTTGGCAGCCGCCACCAGGGCAGCGACGGGTCCGCCCACCGCGCGACGGAGAGGAGGACGGTCGGCACGAGCATATGATACAGCGCCGTCCGCCAGAGCCGCTCGATAATGGTGCCCTCCCACTGCTGCCACGGCCGCTTCTGATGCGAGTAGTACTGCGGTATAATAGGACCGTAGCCGTGGGTGCGCACCGCTCGGTCGATGACGGAGTCGATCTCGTCATAGTCCGCCTTGGTGGGCGGGTTCAGCTCTTTCGGCATCAGCTCGCCCTGGGATGACGAGCGGTAGGCGAACGGGTCGAGCTTTGGGCTGAGCTTCGGGCTGAACATGCTCTCGGCGGCGGTGGTGGGCGCGGATCCTCCAGCGGCAGCGATGAGCGCGATCGCGAGGAGGCATGAGGCCTTCATGGCGACCGCAGCAACGGCTGTCTGGTATAGCCCCTGCGGACACCGTGACTCAACCGCGCACACACTGGGTTCGGACTTTTTGCGGGGTATGGTATCTCTTAAGTGGCGGCCAGAAGATCCGCCCTGGGATCTTCGGCGCAGGGCGCCGTCACCGGCCCCATGAGCCCCCTACGAGGCCATTCAGTGCTCATGTGGCACGACCTGAGCAGGCCTAGCAATGCCTCGGGCCGAGCGGCGCCCAGAATTGTTGGTGCTGGCCAGCAACGTGGCCGGCGAGTGCCGTCGTTGCATTGGTGGCGACCACCGCTGAAGCGGTCAGCAGGTGGGAAGGCATCGCTCTCTTTGTAAGGATATTGTCCGTATTCATTGTCTGGTCAATACTTCTGCCTGGATGGCACCTGTGTGTCCAACATGGCGACCCTCGGCCTCCCTCGTCAGTCCACCTCGCGCTGATCATTCTCGTCGCTAGCTCAAGCCGAAAAAGTGGTCCACCGACACCAGGAGGAGTACAACCATCATGGCCGCAGCCTCAGACTGACCGGGTTAGGTCATCTTACCGGCTTGGTGGCCCAGAAGCGCGACATTTGCTGCCCGCAGAGCGCTAGCAGCCCACTAGCCGGCACGTCTGTGCGTCGTGCGGGGCTGAACTTCAGGCACTCTGCACGCGGCTTGTCGTCTAGAATAGCTCAACCCCGGCCAGTGAGTGATGGATCTGATCATAATCAATCCCTACTGTGCTGGGGGGCTCTCAGATCAGCCGTTCAGAGCTCTGACATTGGTTCCCGGCAGAAGATCCTCCAGAGGATCTTCTGCCGTCGGCCAAAAAACCGTGTTCAAACGAGACACAATGACCCAACAATGACCCCCACGGCCAGCTGGACATGCAGCCGACCCGGCCTGGCCAGCTGGGCCATCGGGGCGGCCGCCATCGGCCGTAGGACCGCGCTGCGGTGCCGAAAGGGGCTGGAAGATCCGCCCTCTGGGATCTTCGCCACCTAAGAGATAGTGGCACGCAACCCACCTCGAGACCATACCCCCCCCCCGCCTGCTGACAGACCCAGCCTCCCGGAGACCGGGGATGGGCGGTCAGGACCATACCCCCCCACCCTTTGGGCCGTGAGCCTACCATACCATACCCCGCAAAAAGTTGGAACCCTGGCACTAGGTTCCCAAAAGAAATCAAGCGCCCGCCGCAGCTCCCGCCGCTAACGGATCTTACCCCTCCTGTAACCTCTCCTTATTGAATTCCTATTTAACACACAACAACTCTCTCTCGGTATACAAAATGCGCCTGCGGGCGGACCCTTACAGATCACAGATCACAACAACTCTCTCTCACAGGCGACAGGCTCGACACAGCTCACAGGCGCGGACTAGTAACAAACATCAAAATTCCTCTCCGCCCCTAGCCTTCCCTCCCCCACTTGCGCAAGCCAACACCCTCGTCTACGCTCAGAGATCCTCCATGTCATCGAGGTCCGCCTCCGCCTCGAAGCCGGAACCGCCGCTGTACGCGGCGGATGCCACCGGCGACCAGGCGGCGTTGAGCTCCTTCGCCTTCTCCTCAAAGTCGACAGCCACGGCGTCCTGGTGGTCGTCCAGCCAGAGATTCACCTCCTCGAGGGCGGCCTCCACCTCGGCCACCAGCGCCGGGTCGGCCTTGTCGGCGACGCCCTTGTCCGGGTCCGTCAGCGCCGCCTGGATGGAGAAAGCGAGGTGCTCGAGCTTGTTGCGCGCCTCCACCCGCTCCTTGACGGCGCGGTCCGCCTCCTTGTGGCGCTCGGCATCCTCCACCATCTGCTCGATCTCGGCCTGCGAGAGCCGGCCCTTCTCATTGGTCACGGTCACGCTGTTTGTGTTGCCCGACGCCGAATCCGTGGCCGAGACAGAGAGGATGCCATTGGCGTCGATCTCGAAGCTCACCTCGATCTGCGGCACGCCCCGCGGCGCTGGCACGATGCCCGAGAGCTCAAACTTGCCGAGCGCGTGGTTGTCCTTGGTCATCGCGCGCTCGCCCTCGAAGACCTGGATCATCACCGCGGGCTGGTTGTCCTGGTGGGTGGAGAAGACCTGCGACTTCTTGGTCGGGATGGTGGTGCCGCGCGGGATCAGCTGCGTCATCACGCCGCCCACCGTCGAGCACGGCGAAGCGGATGCGCGGGCAGCGCAAAAGTGTCGGATGGGAGGGCGGCGGCGGTGAGGGCGGCAGTGTGGGCGGCGGCAATGAGCGGCGGGAGTGCGGCGGCGGCAAGTTGGTGCGTGGCCGCGGCGCGAGCGAGGGTAGCGAGGGTAGCGAGGCGAGCGAGGGTAGCCGCCGTCAATCAACAGCGCATGCCGCCGCGTCGAGCACGATGATGCGGCTGCCGGCGCCGCAGAGCGGGCTGAGGATGCACCCCTGAACCGCCGCGCCGTGCGCGACCGCCTCGTCGGGATCGACGCCCGTGTTGGGCTCCTTGCCGTTGAAAAAGTCCTTCAGCATGGAGCGCACCTTGGGGATGCGGGTCGACCCGCCGACGAGGACAATCTCGTCGATCTCGCTCTTCGAGAGGGAGGTGTCCGCGAGGACCTGCTTGACTGGCTCGAGGGTCTTCTTGAAGAGGTCCGAGTTCAACTCCTCGAAGCGCGCTCGCGTCAGCGTCTCGGAGAAGTCGATGCTGCCTGCGAAAGACTCGATCTCGAGCCGGACCTCGTGCTTGGACGAGAGCTCGCGCTTGGCGCGCTCCACCTCGCGGCGCAGCTTCTGGACCGCCGCCTTGTCGCCGGACGCGTCCACGCCGTGCCGCTTCTGGAACAGGCCGAGCATGTGCTTCATCACGCGGTTGTCAAAGTCCTCACCGCCGAGGTGTGTGTCGCCGGCCGTCGCGAGCACCTCGAACACACCAGAGTCGATGCCGAGGAGCGAGACGTCGAACGTGCCGCCGCCGAGGTCGAAGACGAGGATGGTCTTCTCGCCGGCGTCCTTGTCGAGGCCGTACGCGAGCGCCGCCGCTGTCGGCTCGTTCAGGATCCTCACGACGTCAAGACCAGCAATGGTGCCGGCATCCTTGGTCGCCTGCCGCTGGCCCTCGTTGAAGTAGGCTGGAACAGTGACGACCGCCTTGGTCACTGGGTGTCCGAGGTACGCCTCTGCCGTCTCCTTCATCTTGCCAAGGATCATCGCGCTCACCTCCTCTGGTGCGAAGGACTTGGTGGTCTCACCCTGCGAGACGAGCACACTGGGCTTGCCGCCGGCCGCCGCCTTGACCACCTCGAACGGCCAGAGCTTGCGATCCGCTGTCACTGTAGCGTCAGAGAAGAGTCGTCCGATCAGCCGCTTGACGTCGTACAGGGTGTTGGTCGGGTTGAGCGACGCCTGGTTCTTCGCTGCGTCGCCGACTAGTCGCTCTTGGTCGGTGAAGGCGACGTAGGAGGGTGTGACTCGATTGCCCATGTCGTTGGCGATGATTTCAAACTTTCCGTTCTTGTAGACAGACACCGCAGAGTACGTCGTGCCGAGGTCGATGCCGATGATGTCCTCGCCGTCGGCGGGAGGCGGCGCTTGGCCGCTGGCGCAGACGACGCACCAGGCGAGCACGAGCGTGGTGATGAGCGAGCCGACGGTCCACGAGGTGAAGAAGGACGATGAGGCGGAGGGCGATCGCGGTGAGCGCGAGCGACGCGAGCGGACTAGCATTGCGTGAGAAACAGTTTTGGCGTGCGTCCCCCCCCTTGGTTTGGATGCGTCGGCCGGCTCGAGATGGGTAAAAAGGAACAGGTCCCACAGAGCCAGACTGAGGGGGATTGTTTTTCTCTTTTGACGGCTCTTATTTGGCCGCTTAATTTGCATGAGAGGGAGGAATGACAGATGAGAGCTCTTTGTGCATCAAGACTCTCTTTGGCGCGGCGACCCCGATCGCCTTCATGGCTCGCTCCCGTCGGCCGGCTGCCGCGGCGGGCGGCGGGCGACGAAGAAGATACAGTTGTACTGCATCTGGTAGAGCGACTGTGGGTTGCATGTGTAGCTGCATCTGCACCACTCCTCGCGCTCAAACACAAAGCCGCACCTGCAAAGGGGGGGGGGGGGGCAGAGAGGCGTGGCGAGGGGCGAGGGGCGTGAGCTGGGCCAGGCTGAGGGTGGGTGGGTGTCACGCACGCGACGATGAGCGAGCGCAGCTCTTGCCACGTCAGCTCGATGGACACCTCGCCGGGCATGTCGTGGAAGTGCCACAGCAGCGGGCCCATGTTGATCCAGACGCCGCCGTCTGCAATCATCCTCCAGGCGGCCCGCACGTACTCGGAGGGGTCGTGCGCGGTGTCGACGAAGAAGAGGGTCACCAGCGCCTCCCACGCCGCCTCCGAGTCGCGGTACACCTGCCACCGCGGCCGAGACTGACGCTTCCGGCGGGACTTGGCGCAGCAGCAGTGCAGCAGCGCTCCGGCAGACAAGGCGGGCGAGGCGGTGTCTAGCGGTTGTCTGGCGGGTGTCTAGCTGGTGTCCTGAGAGGTGGCTGTGAGGCGCGTCTGTGGTGCGTGTGCGGTGCGTGTGGTCGGCGTCTGCTAGGCGCCTCGAGGAAGTCTCCGGCGCACATCGACAGGTTGCTCTCCTCGGGCAGGTCGGAGGGAGGCACCTCGGGCGCGACGGCGGGCCGGAGCTGGTCCGCCGCGGAGACGGCGTTGCACGTCTGTAGCGCCCACGGGTGCAGCGTCACCGTCTCCTGCGCCGCGCCGAGCCTACGTGCCACACGCCGCGCGGATGGCGCCGCCGGGAGGGAGCAGCTCCCGCTCTCGCTGCGCGCGCGGCGCCGGTTCATGAGGAAGTCGGCGGCGATGAGCATAAAGTAGGAGAACTCGCAGCCCTGCGCCACGTAGCCCGCCATCGCAACCTCCCACACCAACCTCCCGAGGCCCGCGCCTGCAGACGTGTCGCGGACGTGTCGCGGACGTGTCGCATACGTGCCGCTCGCGACGGGGAGTCTCTCGACGCCCGCGCCTGGCAGGAGGACCCGCACGCCCTCCGGCTGCGGGAACTCCTTGCGCAGCGCGTCGAGCACCGGCCCTACAGGCGCAAACCAAGCCGCGGTGCGACACCTCGCCGCGAGGCGCAGCCGCAGCGCTGGCGGCGGCAGGCCGTGGGCCGACTCTCGCTCGGCGCGGCCCTCGGCGCCCCACTCGCGCACAAACTGCTTGAGCGTCGATTGCACCTTCTCGAGGTCCGACTCGGGCACGTAGTCCGTGCGCGAGGTTGGCACGAACCGCGTCGACCCGTCGGGCTGAGGCATCGCCACCTGCACCCTCGGGTCGTCGCCCGCGGGAACGGACGCACGGTGCGGCGCGACGAGCTGCGCGATGACGCGCGCATTCTGCTCGACAGCGGCGCGCATCCCGGCAACCTTATTGTCGACTCGCATCACGGCGCGGTCCGCGTCCGAGAGCTTGCCGTAGTGCCGCTCCAGCCGGTCGGCCTTGGCGAGGCCCCATGCACGATACTCGTCATAGGCGCGTATAATCGAGGCAAAGTGCTGATTTTCTGCCATACTCTCGCTCTCCTGGTGATCTGGATCTTCTTCCAGATCGCGCTGTTCGGACAGCCTCTCACGCTCGCGAGTGTCCATGCTGTTGAAAGGGTGTAGAGCGGCACAGCCGAGCGCTATTTCGATACTTCGCAAAAGAATTTTCCCAAACCCGCTCCCTACAGGACGAGGCAGAAGGGAAGGACGCGACAGAGGAGGAAATGACAAGGGAGAGAACGACGAGAATGGGACGACCGCGAGGTGGCATGAAGGTTGCAGCGAGAAGCGGAGAGAGACTGCGAAGAGAGATAGGAAGAGGCAGACTCCCTAGGGTGGGCGACGGCCAGCGCACCACACACCTCTCCTTAAAATCCCTGTGTGGTGGCGGCGTGCCGTCCTCCCATCCCTCCCTTGGGTTGTCTGTTTTCTTTCTTTCTTTTCTTTCTTTTAGGTGTCTGTTTTCTTTCTTTCTCTTACTGGCACTAACGCAGGCAGCCGTGGGCTTTTTTCGATAAATAAGAATTCTTGAAAAACAAGCCTCTCTCTCACAGCACACTGGCACGACAACCAGCGTCCACCCATACCGCGTTGGTGTCCAGTCCGAGCCTGGCTGTTCTTCACCTTCCTACATACATACATACGACAAGGGCGCGGACTGGCGCATAAGATTTTTTCCGGGTCGGGACTGGCGCGCACTGGCACCATCCCTCCCTTGGTTGTCTGTTTTCTTTCTTTCTTTTACTGGCACTAAAATTCGAACACAGATACACCGCAAAAGAATTTTCCGCCGTGCCTGAGTTAGTGTCAGTCCTCCCATCCCTCCCCGGAAGCTGCCTGTTTTCTTTCTTTCTGAAAGTGCGACAAAAAACAAGTGCGCGCCAGTCCCGTGCCCAGTGTCGGCGTCCAAAAGAAAATACCGCGCCTAACACAACAAAGAACAAACCCCGCGCGCTGAGAAGAAAGGGATCCACACGCGACACCCAACCCCGCGCTCGCACAACGGACAAATCCGACTGTGGCCGGCGCGGCGCGGCACTGGGAGACATCTGGGAGACAGACGGAGATTTTTAGCAATACACACACATCTCTAACACCACGTTTCATGCTTTGTCGCACTGGCGAGCTAAAGAAAAATTCTTGTCACGTCGGCCCTGGCGCACGGCGACGCATGTACCACAGGCCCAGCAGCAGACAGCAGGCGAGCGGGATGCCAACGCCGAGGCTCAGCCCCAAGATGAGCGGTAAATCATTGTTGTCGTCATCGTCGTCGTCGTCGGCCGGCTCGAGATCGCCCGGCCCAACGCCATCCGCAGGGCCGGGGACGGAGTCGGCGACGTTGAGCGCAGACACCCGGACTACCCGCACGCCAAAGGCGGCCGTTGCGGCATCCACGCTCCTCGTGTGCGGCTCGAGCCTCCGCGCGACGCTCGCCGCCTCCGCACCGCTCCCGGCCAGCACTGTGGCGACGATGCGCCTCGGACCGCCCGATCCGCTCTCCGAAAGCCGCCGAACCCTGCGGGGTGAGGGCGGGTCGACGGCGACGCGGACCCGCGCCTCCTCCACGCCGGCGGCGGTGGCAAATTGCCGAGTGAAGCGGCGCTGCAGGCTGGTGGACCAGGACGCGACGACGAGGTTAAGCGTCACCGCATGCGTGGAGGGTGGGGGCGACAGAGGCGGCCGTGGTGGAGGGGGGGACAGCGGGTGTAGTGAAGGCGATGGAAGCGGCGAAGGTGGAGGTGGTGTTGGTGGCGGTGGGGAGGGTGACGTTGAGGTTGGCGGAGGGTAAGGCGACGAAGAGGGCGGAGGCGGAGAATGCGTGGCGGAGGGAGGGGGTGGCGACAGCGACGGCAGAGGAACCAAGGGCGGGGGAGGCGACAGCGGCGACAGCGAGGGTATGGGGGAAGGTAGCCGCGGCGGCGGCGGCGGTGGATGAGCGGAGAGCGCCACCGCGCCGACTGTGATGCCACATTGACTCTGCACAAGCTCAATGTTCGTCCTAAGATCCAGCCACGTCAAGTTGCCGTACACCACTATGTCCGAGAGCAGAGGATGCCCAGCGCAGCTCGGGAAGCCAACTTCGACTGCCGCCGAGAGGTCCGCGTCCGTGATGGACGCCAGGTAATCGCCGCACATAGCGGTCCCACAAGTGGCGGCTGTTCGCTCGGGCTGGCCGGCGGCGCAAGGGTTGTCGCAGTCCTCCGCATCGTCGTCGTCGCAGTCCTCGCAGTCAGGCGGACACCTGGCGTCCAGTCCAATCAGCATGGAGTAGGCGCCCTCGCAGCTGCCGTAGTCGACTTCTGTCGAGAGGGCGAGGCGGTCGGACAACTCGCACTGCAGGGCGACTGTCTGGAGGTGCGTCCTGAGGTACCACGCGCCCATGCCGCCGTAAGCAGTAGCGCCATTCAGGATGGAATGGGTGGCGCAGCTCGGGAAGCCAACTTCGACTGCCGCCGAGAGGTCCGCGTCCGTGATGGACGCCAGGTAATCGCCGCACGCAGCGGTCCCACAAGTGGCGGCTGTTCGCTCGGGCTGGCCTGCGGCGCAAGGGTTGTCGCAGTCCTCCGCATCGTCGTCGTCGCAGTCCTCGCAGTCAGGCGGACACCTGGCGTCCAGTCCAATCAGCATGGAGTAGGCGCCCTCGCAGCTGCCGTAGTCGACTTCTGTCGAGAGGGCGAGGCGGTCGGACAACTCGCACTGCAGGGCGACTGTCTGGAGGTGCGTCCTGAGGTACCACGCGCCCATGCCGCCGTAAGCAGTAGCGCCATTCAGGATGGAATGGGTGGCGCAGCTCGGGAAGCCAACTTCGACTGCCGCCGAGAGGTCCGCGTCCGTGATGGACGCCAGGTAATCGCCGCACGCAGCGGTCCCACAAGTGGCGGCTGTTCGCTCGGGCTGGCCTGCGGCGCAAGGGTTGTCGCAGTCCTCCGCATCGTCGTCGTCGCAGTCCTCGCAGTCAGGCGGACACCTGGCGTCCAGTCCAATCAGCATGGAGTAGGCGCCCTCGCAGCTGCCGTAGTCGACTTCTGTCGAGAGGGCGAGGCGGTCGGACAACTCGCACTGCAGGGCGACTGTCTGGAGGTGCGTCCTGAGGTACCACGCGCCCATGCCGCCGTAAGCAGTAGCGCCATTCAGGATGGAATGGGTGGCGCAGCTCGGGAAGCCAACTTCGACTGCCGCCGAGAGGTCCGCGTCCGTGATGGACGCCAGGTAATCGCCGCACGCAGCGGTCCCACAAGTGGCGGCTGTTCGCTCGGGCTGGCCTGCGGCGCAAGGGTTGTCGCAGTCCTCCGCATCGTCGTCGTCGCAGTCCTCGCAGTCAGGCGGACACCTGGCGTCCAGTCCAATCAGCATGGAGTAGGCGCCCTCGCAGCTGCCGTAGTCGACTTCTGTCGAGAGGGCGAGGCGGTCGGACAACTCGCACTGCAGGGCGACTGTCTGGAGGTGCGTCCTGAGGTACCACGCGCCCATGCCGCCGTAAGCAGTAGCGCCATTCAGGATGGAATGGGTGGCGCAGCTCGGGAAGCCAACTTCGACTGCCGCCGAGAGGTCCGCGTCCGTGATGGACGCCAGGTAATCGCCGCACGCAGCGGTCCCACAAGTGACGGCTGTTCGCTCGGGATGGCCTGCGGCGCAAGGGTTGTCGCAGTCCTCCGCATCGTCGTCGTCGCAGTCCTCGCAGTCAGGCGGACACCTGGCGTCCAGTCCAGTCAGCATGGAGTAGGCGCCCTCGCAGCTGCTGTAGTCGACATCGCCGCCAGTGATGCACTGGGAGCACCCGCTGCTCGCGAGCGTCTGGTTGTTGACCTCGGCGCCTTCAGGATTGTCGCCGCCACAGTAGTCAGACCAAACGCTCTCGCAAGTCGCGCCTGCGGCAAAGAATAGGTCACAGCCAGCGTCTGCTTCGTTCTCCCAGTCAATTTGGGCCGTGCACACGTCCGACATGCCGCCGCCGAACAAGTTAAACAGGCTGGTGATTGCAGCTCCAGTATCAGCACTAGTTTCGCCGCCAAGGCTGTCGCCGCCAAACAGGTCGGTGAGAGCAGTGAGAGCAGGGCCGAGGGCAGCTCCAATGTCAGGCGCGGAGCCCGCCGGGTCATCATTCAGCTCTGAGCCCATCGCCGCAGGAGCGAAAGCTGCGACTAGCATGACCGAGAGCGATGGCATCGATCGCGGCAGAACCGCAACCGATCGCGGCAGAACTCATACAAGTTGTGGCAGGTAGAGTAGTATCTAGATTTCGCGAGCATTTTTTTTTCATCCTTCTCTTTTATGTATGTAAAAGAGGGATTGCGAATGTTGGACGGAGGGTGGACGCGATCAAGGGTACCTGGTAAAACACCCCGCTATGCACCTCAGTAGTACTCGAGTACGCTCGGTCGGTGCGCCGTTTGTTTTTGGTCTGCGTTTGGTTCGATCGATGGTTCCTGCCACCTCGCGTGCGGCTCTGATCCCGACAATCGCCTGGCTACAATCTTCCCTCGAGTCGAGAGATTGCCCGATCGGCGGCGGAGCGAAGCGTACTTTCGATCTCGTTCGTTGCACGCCAGGCCAACTTTTAGTCAGAAGAAGTTGGAATTAATGCTCCCGCCCGCCCGAGGTTTGCTCGGCCGCAGGGGAGGAGTGAGGGACTACGTGAGAGAGATTTTTAGCAATACCTGAAAGAGAGGTTACAGGCGGGGTACAATACCAAACAACTCTAACACTCACTACGTGTGAGGGTGGGTGGGAGAGGGGCTGTTTCAGTGTACGTACTGTACGTTTAGCCTTACTGGGAGAAAAGGTAGAGGCTCTCTCTCTCAGTGTATGTAGGCCTTACTTACGAACATGCTGACAGGGATGAGGAAGGAGGGCGACTCCGACCGAAGGGTGTTCGGGGTTTGTAACAACTAACAGCCTCTGCAGGAGAGTGCTCTAAATAAATAAATAAAACGGACACACCAAACACCGGGTGGGAGAGCATATCTTCTGGCTCAACGAGGCGGAGCACTTGGAGCACTTGGAGTGCAGTCATCCACCTCACATCCAGGGCCGGGGAGCTAAGAAGCGCCCCCAGCGGGCCGGAGCCCTATGTAGTTTTTTTCCGTCTTGGAGGGAGAAGATACGGTTGGTCGCATCCGCACTTGCCGGCTTCGCTCAGAGCGACGCCTTCCCCGCCCGCCACGCGCACCACCTCCGGCGCCAGCCGCCAAATGCTGGCTCCTACCTCTGCGGATCCACACCTGTCACCGATGCAAACCTCCTCAATCTCCACCGGTTCGCGCCTCTATGACCGGCTCATGCATGGCATGTCGAGTGATTGGGCCAGCAAAGTGACTGGGATGCTCCTCGCGTCCTCAGTCGACCTCTCTGCGCTCCTCGAGGGCCCTCCCGCCGAGCTCGACGTGCTCGTGGCTCGTGCCATAAGCAGCGTCGATGCTGCGGCACTGGAGGCTCTCATGGGCGCCCTCGCACTCTCCCAGGAGGGTGTGGGAGACATGGGAGCGATCCCGTGGACGGTGGCGGGCCGCAGCCTGCGCACCGAAGAGGTGCCCGTTACGAGCGACGTGCGGGTCAGCGTGTGGCTCCGCGCGCCCGTCGACCTCCCCTTCGCCGCGGACATCTATGTTGCGCAGTCGGGCGGCCGTCTCGTCAAGGTGGGCACGCTCACCCCCCGCTGCCCGACCCTCGACGGCGTGCAGCTGTTGAGCGGCAGCGCGCGGCTGGTCGTCTCGCTCGCCGAAGAAGTCCGGCCGGCGGCACCCGCCCGCCGCCCGCTCGTGCACTTGGACGCCTCGACGCAGCTCGCGGCCGCCAAGCAGACGAAGAGGGCCAGAGGTGAAGACGAAGCAGGCCCGGAGGCCCTCGCTGGAGACGGAGTCGGAGACGCGGCCGGCCTGGCGGCCCAGGCGGGGCTGCGCAAGGAGACGGCGGAGGCGTTCGCGCGGGCAGCGTCCGGCTCTCCCGTCGAGGCCCACTCGCCGCACGGGGTGGCCGAATTTGTGCGCGGTCGGCTCGAGGAGCAGCGGAGGGACGTGTGCGCGACAGCCGTGCAGTGCGTGGGCGTCCTGCACACGCTGGGCCTCCTCGCGCGCGTCGAGGAGGTCGTGGCCCGCGGCGGAGAGACGATCGGCGACGGCGGCGAGGGCGGCGGCGAGGGCGGCGGCGCGGGCGAGGGGTGCGGCGCGGGTGCGGCCGGGCCTCGGCTGCGCTCTGCGGGCGGGATCTTCCTCAAGCTCCTGCGCGAGGACGGCGAGCGGGGCGTGGCGGGCGCAGAGGCGGCCTGGCAGAGGATCCGCTCCGACGGCGTCGCGCTGCGCAAGGCGCAGGCGCGCAAGCGGGCGGAGCTGCGCAAGGCGCGGAGCGCGCGCAGCAGCTCCCTCGCCGCCGGCCGCGAGCGCCAGGCGCCGCAGGCCAGCGCGTAGGCGACACGGCGGGAGGTGCTTCGAGACGCCGCGTCGGGCGAGGGCTAGCCCCTCTCGCTCTCTAGCCGCTCGCGATGTCCGAACACACGCGCATATAGTCCCCCATGCCGAATAGCCCCGCGTTAGCATACACGTAACCCCGCACACACGGACACGCGATGAGAAGGGGCGGGCGCTCTACGTATCTGCTTCTCCCTCTGCATCGTGCATGTTACACCTCTCTCAAATGAGAAATATCCAGTATCGTGTCCGCCGGGCGCGCGAGTGACGAGAGCTGCACTGTGGGTAAAAAAGACGACTTTGCGCCCACCGGCGCCACACGCGACCCGCAACCACGCCGACACGCCGTCACTTTCATCGTTCGCGAGAGCGGCGAGGCGCGCAGACAGACAGGTGAGAGCTATTTTTTAATGCAACCTCTGATTTGCTCGTCCGCGTCCACCAGCGACCAGGGCTCCTGGGGACTCGAAATATTCCGTCGTGCTCGCGCGCAACGTCGTCACCAATGAGAAGGCGGGGGAGCTCGAGCAGTGCCTGATCGACCTTCCCATCTCCGTCAACCACAACGCATCCGGCCTTCCGTGCCAGTACTCCGCCTCCTTCCCGGCGATCATCTACGCCGTGCCCCTCAACGAGGGCCTCTCGATTGCTGAGTACTGGGCCACGCGTGCGTGCCCGCCCACCCTCAAACCTCCGCGTCGCGGATCGGATCGGCGGGCGGGCGACTCACTGACGCTTCCGCCCGTGCCCGCAGACAAGTCGTACTACATCGAGCGTCAGGAGATGGGCATCGGGAAGAACAAGGCGCGCGAGCTCGGCATCATCCGCACGCTCGCCCAGGAGCGCGCGATGGGGCTGCGGGACCCGCCCGCGGTCGGCGGCGGCGACCAGCCGACGACGCACGTGCACATGGACGACAAGAAGTGGCTGCGCATCCTCCTCGACTCTGGCCTGAACCTCTCCGCGCTCGATCGCGCCATGGAGAAGAGCTCGCACGCTCGCCTCAACACGCTGACGAGCCCCATCCTCAAGTCAACGCCGCAGCCGGGCTCGACGGAGGCGTCGCTTCTCAAGGAGCTGCAGAAGCTCACCTCGGGCAAGTCGGGTCTCACGAGCAACGAGAAGTTCAAGCGCCTCAAGCCAATGTATTGGGAGATGCGCAAGTCGGCGACGCGCGTGTGAGCTCCGCACAGAGCGACGCCGCCACCACCGCGCCGCCCTCGCGCGAGGCGGGCAGCGCACGCGCGGCGCATCTCTTGCTCGTGCGGCGCGTCTTGTTCCCGCGTGCGGCGCGAAAAAGCAAAAAAAAGAGAGGGAAAGAGGAGACAGAAACTGTGAAAAGCGGAAGGGCATATTGGAACCTGTGAAAAGCGGAAAAAAAATGCGGTTCCACGTGTACGTGTGTGTGGAAACATGCACCTGTCCTGAAACGTGAAAGGGTTAAAATGGATTGCGATATGCCTTATCGGGATAACCACCCGGCGCGCCATGTAAAGAGAGATCTGCGTGCCCCGTTCGGCGCAACGCAATCTTCTGGTCAAACAGTGAGACTGCGAGGTCGTACACCGCGAGGTCCGGGCGCAGGGCTTCGCGCAGCACGCTTGCCGCCTTTTTGTCCCTGTCTACATCGAGAAGTTTGGGGTGGGAGTTTGCATGGATGCGGATCGTCTCGGGGCTAAAGCACACTCCGTATTGCGCACAAAAGAGGGCTACAGTCTTGTCCATGTGCTCGAGCACGCCCACAAAGTCGAATGCTCGCAAGCTCGCAAACGCTACCGAGAGCATGGTGCTGATGTTTTTCGTACACGCCGCACTTTGGCCCGCCACCACTCCGAGCGCTTCCGTGGCGGCGGCGGTGGCCCTAAGTATGGCGCACTGCTGTGGTGCGATCGAGCAATCGGAGTGCGATGCGTCGTCTTGACTGCGGTAGCCCGGCGCGCCATCTCTGAGGTGCTGGAGGCCCGAGCAGCAGCCATAGCACCCAGTCAGGAAGCCCAGGGTTCGATCCGGTGTCCTGACGCCGCTGTAGAAGCGCTCGATCGACGCCGCCGTAGCATTGCTTCGTTCGTTGGCGTAGTTGAACGACGAGGCAATTCGGCGTACCGGGTCGCGGATAATCGTGGCCATCTCATACCCGAACGCACGAAACGCTTGTGCTGCGGCTACGTCCCAGTGATGCAGCTCGACGAAGGTGCAGTTGCTGCGGACCATGTCAATTATCATGGATAGGGCAGTCTCGCCGTGCCAATGGCTCTTTTGAAACCCTGGCCCTTTCAGAGAGCATAGATTTTTGGAGATGTCGCAGCCGGATGATGCGAGACTGCCGTCGGTTGCAGCACGGCACATCTTTTGATGCTCTGACATCCACTTCATCCAGGTCGACCCTCCGCTCTCGTTGATGTGCATGAAGACGAGGCGTGTCTCCGTGGCCCCACGCGAGGAGGCAAGCGAGCACACGCATAAGGGCAGAAGTGCCCGGAACACCGTCATCTGTGTCGGGACGACGCGCGAATTTGAGTTCGGACACGTGTTTTATCCACAGACCTTGTATTGAGAAGAAAAGAAAGAGGGGTGGTTTCTCCTGTCCTAGGGCCGATCCCCTTTCCCTCACTGCTCTCACTGGCCTCACATTGGAAAAGTCTATGCAAAAGTCCAACAAACAAAGTGCTCCAGCAAAGACTTTTAGTTTTACCAAAGACAAGAAGAGAACTCTCTCTCTCTCCAAAGACCACAAACAAAAGTCAAAACGCACGAGCCGCGCATCCAAATGCAGGATCGATCCAAGCGTGACTGCGTGAATTCTCGAATTCCCAGTCAGTCGGTGTTCACGTCCTACTCCTTGTCTCCTGAGCACGGCGACGGGGGACGGGACCGCGGCGGCGCGGGGCGGGCATCTCGGGCCAACGCGGGCCAACGGCTATACGGCTGCTAGAGTAACGTACGGCTGTATTTTGACTTTTGGACACAATCCCGCAAGTATTGCCCCGAGCTAAAATCGTAATTAAACCTCTCGTTGTTTTGTCACACCATGACGACATCCACTTGATCACCATGACCTCACAGCCAGAGGAGAGAGCCCAACGCTGAAGGGAGACGCGGAGAGCTACAAATAGGTCTGTAAACATAACCACAAGATAAAACACAGCGATGGGTAGCAGAGCCCAGCGCACTGACTGTACACACCCATGCGGTGTGTGTTCAGTGTTTAATGGGATTTGCGTCTGACGAAGCGACGCACGTATCGACCCCCCCGCCCCCCCCCCCCCCGCCCCCTGCCCAACTAGGGGCGGACCGCCGCCGGCCTCCGGCTAGATCAGGTCTGCTACGTTCATCGGCATCTCGTCGATCTGCGTCGAGTAGAACTGCTCGATGTCGCGCAGGATGCGGATGTCGTCGCTCTTGACGAAGTTGATCGCGACGCCCTTGCGGCCGAACCGGCCCGAGCGGCCGATGCGGTGGATGTAGAGCTCGCGGTTGTTGGGGAGGTCGTAGTTGATCACGAGCGACACCTGGCGGGGAGGGCAAGGTGGAGGTCAGCCCGGCTGCAGGGAGGGCAGCGCAGAGGGCGCGCAATGGGTGCTGGAGGGGCGGCGAGGGGGACGCGGCCGCAGCGCCGCGGGGAGGGGGGAGGGGGTGATGTGTGTGTGGCTGGCCTGCTGCACGTCGATGCCGCGGCCCCACACGTCTGTGGCGATGAGGACGCGCGAGTCGCCCGAGCGGAACTCGGCCATGATTGCGTCGCGCTCCTTTTGCGGCATGTCCCCGTGCATGGAGGAGACGGTGAAGTTTGCCTGCCTCATCTTGTGGGTGAGCCAGTCGACCTTCTTCTTCGTGTTGCAAAAGATGACCGCCTGCGCAGCCGGGGCCGCGAGGGCTCGGTGAGGCCGTCCCGCAGCGGGAGAGTGCCGCCTCGCGGCTTGAGGTGGGGCGTGGGAGGCGAGGCGCCTGCGTGATGGTGAGGGTGTCGTACAGGTCGCAGAGCGTGTCGAACTTCCACTCCTCCCGCTCGACCGCGACGAAGAACTGCTTGATGCCCTCGAGCGTCAGCTCGTCGCGCTTGACCAGAATCCGAACCTGCGCCCGCCGCGAGGGGAGGGCGTGTCGTGGACGTGTCGCGGGCGTGTCCCGCGGTCCCGGCGGAGAGGGTCCGGCGCACGGGGTCAGTCATAAACTTGCGCGTCATCTCGAGGATCTCGTTGGGCAGCGTCGCCGAGATGAGGACGACTTGGGTGGCGGGCGGCAGGTAGCGGTAGATGTCGTAGATCTGCTCCTTGAAGCCCTGGGAGAGCATCTCGTCCGCCTGGGGCGCGGAGGCGGGAGGGGAGGCGGAGGGGGGGGGGGGGGGGGGGTGAGGTGGCGGGTGTGCGGTGGTTGTGCGTTCTGTGCGCTCTCTCCACCGCCTCTTCGACCACCAGCACCGGGATGGCCCTCTCTCGGCCGCCCCTCGGCCGCCCCTCGGCCGCCCCTCGGCCGCCCCTCGGCCGCCCCTCGGCCGCCCCTCGGCCGCGCCTCGGCCGCACCTCGGCCGCACCTCGGCCGCACCTCTACCTCTCGGCTGCATCTCTGACGAGGCGCATCTGGGCCGCCGCTGCTCTCCACCTCTCGGCTACCTCTGTGCGGCACCTCGTCGATGACGAGCATCTTGATTGCGCGCGTGCGCAAGTTGCGGCGGCGGATCATGTCGAAGACGCGGCCCGGCGTGCCTAGAAGGTTCCTAGAAGCTTCCTAGAAGGTTCCCTCGCGGATCATGTCGAAGACGCGGCCCGGCGTGCCGGAGACGGCGTGCACTCCGGCGTCGAGGCGGCGGATGTCCTCGCCGATCGACTTGCCTCCGATGCAGGCGTGGCACTGCACCGACATGTAGTCTCCGAGCGCGAGCATCACCTACAGGGCCGCAGCGTCATGCAGGGCCGCAGCGTCATGGGCGGGTGGTGGGCGGGGGTGGACGTGTCGTGGACGGGACGTGGACAGACAGGCAGTCGCGGCGTGCTGGCAGGTGGACGGGGCGCGGCGGCGTGGATGGGAAGCGGCAGCAGGGGGGCGGGGCAGGGCGAGGCGGCGGCGGGGCGAGCCTTTTGCGTCTGCTCTGCCAGCTCGCGCGTCGGGGAGAGCGCGAGCGCCTGCGTCTCGCGCTGCGAGGTGTCGATGCAGTGCAGCACGCCCACCTAGCGGCAGGCACGCCCGTCATGCCGCGCGTCCTCCGTGGTCGCATGCCGCGCGCGGCCGCCGCGCCGAAAAGATGGTCGTCTTGCCGGTGCCCGACTGCGCCTGCGCGATGGTGTCGCGGCCCTTGAGGATGGGCATGATGGCGCGCTGCTGGATGGCGGACGGCTTCTCAAAGCCTGCGCGCGGGGCGGGCCGCCCGTCAGCCCCACACCGCCGTCGGCACCCGCCCGCGCCGGGGGCGGCTACCGTACGCGTAGATGCCGCGGAGCAGCTCGTCCTTGAGCCCCATGGCATCGAAGGACTCGACGATCTGCACGTCGTCCGACGTGCTGAAGTCGAGCGTCTCGTCGTCAACCATCGCCGTCATGGCGCAGCGCGGCGGGCGGCGAGGCGCGCCTTCGAGGATGCAGGCGTGAGCGTGCAGCAGCGCGAGCCAGGAAAATTTTTTTTTGCAGGGGATTGATTTTGCTTTTTGTTGGTGTGGGGGTATGCGATCGCAGATTTCAATGGTCATGTCGAATTTTCCTTCTTTCTGGTTTCCTCGGCGTGAGTCGCCGAGGTGGCTGTGGCCCCCATGCCCCCATGAGCTGAAGATGCTGCCCGGCTCCCTCTCCCGCGTTGACGAGCAGGCGCCTGCGTATTGTCATCCTGCCGATCCGAAGGCCTTGTTTGATGGCATCCACCACAACGAGGCCTCCGTCCACTCCGCGCTGAACCATCCGAGGGCGCTCGAGGAGTGCCTCAAGCGTACGGGCGTGTCGCCAGCAGAGATTGCCAACAAAATCGATCCCGACGGGGACCGACGGCCGTTGCACTGGGCGGCAGCTCGCGGTCACACCCAGTGCGTCCAGTTGCTCCTCGAGGCCGGCGCAGACCCGCAGGCACTGGATGTTCACGGCGCGACTGCGGCGCAGCTCGGGATGTGGCACGAGGAGTGCTCCGCTCTGCTTCCGTCGATCTCGGCGTATCCGGCGGCGGCGGCGATCGTGGCGGCGCAGGTCGCGGCGGCGGCGGCGAGCTGCTGCGCAACGCGGAGCGACTCGTTCGGGACGAGCGGCTCGTGCCAGACAAGCGGCTCGTGCTCGAGTAGCGGCGCGGCGAGCTCGCGCAGCAGCGAGCGGCTGCGGCCGGGCATGAAGCAGATGCCGGACGGGAGGGTGGTGATGACCAAGGCGGCGAAGAAGAGGGAGGCGAGGGCGCGGCGGGAGGCGGAGGCTGCGCAGCGCGAGGCGCGAGAGGACGACTGCTTGGGCGGCGCTCTGCTCGAGGCTCTGGGGGACGAACGGCCTGTCGCGGGCGATTCCATCGGCGGGAGAGGCCGCTTCACGGCGGAGGAGGACGCGGCGTACCTGGCGCTGCTCAACCAGTTCGGGCGGCCGAAGAAGAAGGCGCACCGCACCTCCAAGACACCTCTGGGAGACACTTCCGAGACACTTCTTGCCTCCCGCCGCCACCCGCAGAGCCGCTGCGTTCCACACCCAGTCGGATCAGGACCCAAACTTCCCCCCCCCCCCCCCCCCCTCCCCCCCCCTTCAGGAGAACCCGGAGGCGTGGGCTGCCTTCGGCAAGGCCTTCCCCAACCGCTCGCCGAGCTCGTGGACAGCGCACATCAATGCCTTCAGCCAGGCCCCGTCCGGGCTCTGGCAGAAGCGCACGAGTGGCCCCGCCGAGCGGCGCAAGGCGCCGTCCGGCGGCCTGTACACAAAGGCGGAGTTCGTGGCCCTCTACGGAGGGCGCGCCGAGTGGGATGCCGCCGCCGCAGGTGCGGTCGGCCCGGCAGCCCCCGCGGCCCACCACCCTGGCGCCGGCGGGGGAGGCGGGCGCCTCCCCCACACGAGCGGGAGCTGGTGGCCTCCTCTGCCGGTGCTCTACCAGCCCCCGATCTCGCAAGGGGGCGCGCAGGCGGGCAGCAGCCGCGCTCTCCCGCCGGTCTCGCCGGCGGTGGCCCGAAAGCTCGAGTGGTGGGTGGCGGCCAAGCGCCGCCGCGATTTTGTGACCTCTGACCAGCTGCGTGCCGAGATCATGAGGGACGCCGGCTTCAACCCCGAGGACGGCAGACCAGTGCCGGGATGGCTGCCGCCAGGGCCCGGCTGGTTCGCAGGAGGCTACGTTTAGCGTACGGTAGGAGTTTTGAGTTGAGAGACACATAGAGGGATTCGGACGCGCTGCATGTGTTTGTTTTGCTGCATGAATTCCTGTTTTCCCGGTTTTTGTAGTTTCGGCCTTTTAGTTTCGGCTCCGCGTGTGGTGTCATCTGGTTAGAATAAAGCCGTACGTCAATTATCATTAAAAGGCATATCTTGTGGTACGGTTGTGCTTGTGGGCTTTGGGGGGGGCCTGGGGGGGGGGGTACACGAAACCCAAAAACGCCGCGCGTAAAAAGTTAAGTCTTAAGACCGTTAGTAATCAAGCAGAAAAAATCTCGTCATGCGCGAGAGATAACATAATGTTATGGGGCTACCTTGTCGCTACCTTGTGGCCATTGCCGGCCCGCGAAACGGGCCGCTGGTGACCGGCAACTGTGCCCGCCTTCCAAAAGCGTTCGGCCCCGGCGGCGCTTGTCTCGTACGCCGACCGCCCCCGCCTCGCTCCTACTACCCTTGCGACTCCGCCTTGAGCCGCTCGAACGCCGCGCGCTGCGCCGCCGCCGCCGCCTCCTCTTCTGCCTTGTCGGCCGCCGCCTTTTCGCTCGCCGCCTTCTGCGCAACCTTGGCCGCCGCCGCCGCCGCCGCCGCCGCCGTGGCGGCCGCCCAGTCAATCGCGACGGGTGCCGGCACGGCGGCGCCTGCCTGCGGAGCGGCGGGTGCCAGCCAGCCCTTGGCAGCCAAGGCTGGCCGCACCGCTGCCGGGTCGTGGCGGAACTGGCAGGCGGCGCCGCGGGTGCACATGCCCGAGAGGAAGTCTTTGCAGTGCCCCATCGACCTGCAGGCGCCAGCCAGGGGGGCGTCAGAAGGGGACGGGCGCGCACCTCCCGCGCTGCTCTCTCGAGCGCACTGTGCGGGGCTGGCGCCGTCCGCGGCGCGCGGCTGCTCGAGGGCAGCCTGCCGCCGCGCCTCGTCCTGCGCGGCGGCGGCCGCCACCCGCTGCTGCGGGTGCAGGGTGTGGTCCACCATGTTGGCGGCGTTCGGCTCGCCGCCGTCTACCTCGTGCCTCGGCCGGCCGCAGATCTTCGTGTTGCAGGTCATCCGCGTCGGAAAGTTGATGTTGCGGCAGTTGAGGCAGACCCACGAGCCGGCGGGGTGGCCCGTCGCCGTCTTTGGCGTGTCGGGGTGCTGCCAGTTTGGCTGCGCCCCGCCCGCCAGCTGGGCCGGCACCCCTCCGGCGTAGCCGGGCGGCGCGGGAGGGTAGCCGGGCGGCGCTGGCGGGTACCCTCCCGGGGGGCCCAACCCTCCCGGGGTGGCGGGCTGCGGCGGGTACCCATGCGGCGAGAAGGGCGCGGGCGGCGCGGGCGGCACTGGCTGCAGCGGCGGCGGGACGCCCGGTGGGAGCGGCACCGGCGGTGGCAGCGGCACAGGCTGCACCGGCTGAAGCACAGGCTGCAACACAGGCTGCAGCACCGGCTGCAGCACCGGCTGCAGCACCGGCGCCGGCTGCACGGCGCTCGGGTCGACGGGCGGCGTCCACGACGAGTAGCCGGTGGGGCCGTGGTGGAAGTAGGGCCGGCCGCTCGCAGAGTCGGTGCACTGCGTCCAGCCGAGCGGGGCCAGGTGCTGCAGCGCGGCGGGCAGCCCGTTTTGCGCGTGCTGCACCGCCGCCTGCACCGCCGGGTGCGCGTGCTGGTGCTGCGCCTGCTGCATCGCCATCCGCATCGCCTCCGCCTGCGCGATGAGTCGCTTCTCCTGCTCCTGCCGCGCCGCGAGCGACTCCCGCTCCTGCGCCTCGGCCTCCTCGCGCTCCGCGCGCCGCTTCTGGGCCGTCGCCTCAAGCCAGCGGCTCGTCTTGCCCTTCTGCGCGCCGAAGAGCATGTGGTGGTACCTACTCGCGCGGCCGGCCGGGTGAGGCGCCTCTCGCCCAATCTCCGCGCCACACGGGACGGGGGGCGTCGCGCTACTTGTCCTCGATCTTGCCCCCCTTGCCGCGGTGCTCGATTTCGAGCTTCTCGCCCCTGCCCCCCTCGGCCTCCTTGCCCCCCTCGGCCTCCTTGCCCCCCTCCCCCCCGCCGCGAGACGATCCACCTGCGCCGCCTCCGCTCGCCGCGGCGGGTGCGGGCGCGCCCTCGGCCCCGGAGGCGGCGGCGGGCGCCGCGTCGGCCTCGTCACCGAACATCGCCTCCGCCAGCCTCATCTTGGCCTCCTCGTCGTCAGCCGCGGCGTCGGCGGGCGCGGCGGGCGCGGGCGCGGGCGCGGCGGGCGCGGCGGCGGAAAGCGCGGCGGCGGGGGCGGCGGCGGCGCTCTCGGACGGCTTTTGCGCCTTCTTGCCGCGCCGCTCATCCCCGGCAGAGCTGCTCGACGAGCGCCGCTTTTCGCGCGCCTTCTTCTTGCCGCGCCTACTCTCGGGCGGCCTCGGGTCGTCTCGGGGAGAGCCGCTGGAGCGCAACGCACCCCCCTCCCTGCCGCGCCGGCGCGAGGGGCTCGAGGAGCTCGACGCTGACGGGCGTGCGCTGTCCCACCTGCGGCGAGTCGGCGGCGTGAGAGGAGGGGCGGCGCCTCGAGGGCGACAGGCGGGGCACACCGCTCGAGCCCCTTGCCCTTGCCCTTGCCCTTGTCCTTGTCCTTGCCCTTGTCTTTCTCCTTGCCCTTGTCCTTGTCCTTGTCCTTGTCCTTCTCCTTGTCTTTCTCCTTGTCCTTGTCCTTGCTGCTCTGGCCCCGCCCGCTCTTCCCCTCCTCGCGCGATCGATGCCTCCTCTGCCGCGCCTAGGGAAGGCCGAGACGGCTCAGAGAGCAGCTCGACTGCGGAAGGGCCGCTCCTTGCGACGCGCCTCGGAGCGCGAGCGCGAGCGCGAACGGCGGCGTCGCCGGTCGCGCCCGCGGCTGCGGCTACGGCTGCGGCTGCGGCTGCGGCTGCCGCGCCTGCGCCGCTTGTGCGAGCGCGAGCGGTTGCGCGAGCGGTCGCGGGAGCGGTCGCGGGAGCGGTCGCGCCGCGAGCGGTCGCGGTCGCGCGAGCGGGAACGGTCGCGCGAGCGGGAACGGTTCCCCGGCCGCCTGCCTCTGTCGAGGGTGGGGCAGCGGGCTTCCTTGTGGCCGAGCTGGCCGCACCGCTCGCAGCGGTCGACGTTGTGCGAGAAGCCGAGGCCCGCGACGAGCGCCTGCCCGACGTTGTGCGAGCGAGGTGCGGGCGAGGTGCGGGCGAGGTGCGGGCGAGGTGCGGGCGAGGTGCGGGCGAGGTGCGGGCGAGGTGCGGGCGAGGTGCGGGCGAGGTGCGGGCGAGGTGCGGGCGAAGTGCGGGCGAAGTGCGGGCGAGGTGCGGGCGAGGTGCGGGCGAGGTGCGGGCGAGGTGCGGGCGAGGTGCGGGCGAGGTGCGGGCGAGGTGCGGGCGAGGTGCGGGCGAGGTGCGGGCGAGGTGCGGGCGAGGTGCGGGCGAGGTGCGGGCGAGGTGCGGGCGAAGTGCGGGCGAGGTGCGGGCGAGGTGCGGGCGAGGTGCGGGCGAGGTGCGGGCGAGGTGCGGGCGAGGTGCGGGCGAGGTGCGGGCGAGGTGCGGGCGAAGTGCGGGCGAGATGCGGGCGAGGTGCGGGCGAGGTGTGGGCGAGGCGTGGCCGATGCGTGGGAGGGTCGGGGGGGGTTGGCCCCGCCTGCTCCGAGTGCGGCACCGGCCGGCCACTGCTCCGCACGCCAAGCTCGAGAGGCACCTCCTTCTCTCCGATCTTGACCACCTTGCGGCCCTTCTCGTTGGTGGCCACTGAGGCGGCCGCCGCACCCTCGCCCGCCGCACCCTCGGCCGCCTCCAGCGCGGCCTCCTCCTTCTCGAGCTGCAGCGTGCCGCCCGCCTACACTCTCGGCCGATCTCGGCTGAGCTCTCCTCCTCCTCGGGCTGCTGCGGGCCGCCGTCACGTCGCTTCCCTGGAAAGCCTGCATCTCGGCTGCATCTCGGCTGCCTCTCGGCTGCATCTCGGCTGCGTCTCGGCTGCGTCTCGGCTGCATCTCGCCGTCGCGTCGCTCTTTTGAAAGTCGACGAAGCTCAGCCGGCCGACCGCGAGGGGCTTGGCGGGGAGGGGGTCGGAGGGGCGGCGCAGCTCCTGCGACGGCAAAGGCGGACGGCTTGCCTCGAGAGTCTGACCTCGTCTCGAAGCGGCGGGATCTCGGCTGGGTCTCGGCTGGGTCTCGGCTGGGTCTCGGCTGGGTCTCGGCTGGGTCTCGGCTGGGTCTCGGCTGGGTCTCGGCTGGGTCTCGGCTGGGTCTTGGCTGGGTAGGTCTCGCGCCCTCGCGTCACGGCCGAGCGCTTCGCGCAGCAGCCGCTCTGCGCCATCAACCTTCTCCCTCGGCCCGACGAGTAGCACCGCCTGTTCACAGCTCGAGCCGTGAAGAGGCGCCGAGCGCGCCCAGCTGCCGCCGGGCTGCAGCGCCGCGCCTTGCACTGCGGAAAGCGGTCCGGAGGCCGCAGGTGCGCAACCACCTTGCAGCCCGCCCGCTCGCGCAGCCGCTGCAGCCCCATGTTTCCCTGCCCCTTGACCCGCCCCCACGCCGCCGCCGGAAGGACGAACACCTCGCGGCAGCACCCCTCCGGCACCGGCTCCGCCTCCAGCTCCTCTAGCGCCTGAGATATGGGGAGATATGGGGAGATATGGCGCCTCCAGCTCCTCTGGCGCCTGTCGCGACAAAGAGAGGCACGCCGCCGTAGAGACACACCGCACAGCGCGGCCACCTCTTTGCTCCGCACCCCCTCTCGCGCCTCGCCGCGCTCCTCGCACTCCTCGGCCAACCTCGGCTCCTCTCGGCTCCCCTCGGCTAACCTCGGCCCCTCTCGCCTCCTCTCGCCTCCTCTCGCCTCCTCTCGCCTCCTCTCCGCTCCTCTCATGTCCTCTCGGCTCCTCTCGCGCGCCTCGCCGCACGCCTCGTATGGCTCGTCCGGGCTCACCTACACCCCGCCACACCTCGGGCTCATCTCGCCGCGCCTCGCCGCAGGCCGCCTCGCCGCACGCAAGAGAGAGAGATCGCCAGCCCGCGGCCGTCGTCGAGCACCTCGTACATCGCCTGACTCAGGAGCGACCATTGAGGAGTGCTGCCAGGTGGTGGTCACTCTCTTGTCAGCGGCTCGTTCATCGCCTCGTAGCCGGCGCGCACCGACGAGGGAAGGCCGACCAGCGAGACCTGGCCGCAGAGAGAGAGAGAGGGGTGGAGAGGTGGGAAGGGGGAGGGGGAGAGAGAGAGGCAGGCGGGGAGACGGCGTCGACACCGCGGGGCGAGACGCATCTCGGAGCGGTCTCGGAGCGGTCTCGGAGCGGTCTCGGAGCGGTCTCGGACGTGTCTCGGACCTGCCGCACGTCGTCGGGGCCCTCGGGCGGCGGCCGCGCGTCGATGATGTAGATGCGGCAGCCGGTCGACTCCTAATCTCGGCTGATCTCGGCTCATCTCGGGCCATCTCGACGCCGCCGCAGATGCTGGCTGCTTCTCGACTCCTCCATCCCCTTGAAGGTTGCGCCCTTCGGCCCGATGGCGCGGTTGCACATCTTCTTGCGCATGAAGCAGTCGTGCCGGATCGTGCCGGGCGCCTGGGGGCAGCGATGAGGGCAGGGTCTCTCTCTCTCTCTCTCTCTCTCTCTCTCTCTCTATGTGTGTGTGTGTGTGTGTGTGTGTGTGTGTGTGTGTGTGTGTGATCCGCCGGCCGCCTGTGCCCGCCGAGGTGCTGCTATGCTGTGCCCGAGATGCCGCTACGTGGCTGAGGAGCAGCTCCAGTGGCAGTCTGACCTCGAGCAGCCGGAAGAGATGCTTCCCGCTCAGTGCAGCGGCGGGGTTGGGGTCGGAGGGGAGGGGCCACTGATCGAGCCGCCGCTTGAAGACGAAGCCGCCCGTCGACTCGTGCTTCGACGTCTCGAACGTCGGCGCCCCCGGCGGCGCCAGGCCAGGCAATCCGTACGGTGCCGCCGCCGCGCCGTCCGGGGCGGGCTCGGGAGGCGGCGGAGGAGGGACGGGAGGCGGGGGCGGCTGCGCGGCGATGGTGAGGACCGCGCTGGGGCTGAAGTCGAGCCCGAGCCTGCCGGCCTGGCCCGGCCGCTGGTCCTGCACCCGGTGCCCCGCGAGCGGTCCCGACGTGAACACCTTGTTTGGGTCGTTTGGCCGAGAGGTGATGAGCATCACCTCTGCCGCTGCGAGCATGCACTGCTGCGGCGATCCGGTGACAACGACCAGCCGCCGCTCCTCCGGCTCGCCGGGAACCAGGTCCCGGTCGAATATGTGCACGCCCGCGCCAATCCGTGCAGACATGTCCTTGAAGACTGAGCCGCCAGGGCCGATGAGCGCTCCGCACCGGTCTCTTGGCACAATCAGGTCGTGCCGCATCTTGCCGTGGGACAGGTCGCGGTGCAGGAAGCTGGTGGACTTGGCGTGCGGACCCTCGAGGCCCTGGTGCGGCCAGCCGTCTTGGCGCATCTTGAACTCAAAGCCCGTCGCTGGATCAACTCCTGTCGTTATCAGCGGAACGCCGGCAGCCGGCGCCGGCGGAGGCGCCGGCGACCGTCCGCGAGAGCGAGAGCGATGCGAATCCCGGCCGCGGCGTGGCGACGGAGATCGACCGCGCGGCATCTCCGCCGTGTGCTGACACAGAGGGTGTCGCGATGTGGGTGGCGACGCTGAGGAGCCTCTGGTCGCCCTCGTGAAAAATGACGCCGCGCGCAAGAGCGTGTAGCCCGCAGCCCTAGGGTGGGCGACGGCTAGCGCACCACACACCTCTCCTTAAAATCCCTGTGTGGTGGCGGCGTGCCGTCCTCCCATCCCTCCCTTGGGTTGTCTCTTTGACGCCGGCCGCAAGAGCGTCAAGCTCTCTAGCCCGCAGCCCTAGGGTGGGCGACGGCTAGCGCACCACACACCTCTCCTTAAAATCCCTGTGTGGTGGCGGCGTGCCGTCCTCCCATCCCTCCCTTGGGTTGTCTCTTTACTTTCTTTCTTTCTTTTTAGCCCGCAGCCCGTCCCCGAGCATCCGGCCCGCTGGGTGCGCTTCTTAGCTCCTCGGCCCTGGATGTGAGGTTGCTTTGGGGTTTTTTGGTGTTCTCCAAGTGCCGTGTACAACTGTACGTTCCTCTCTCTCTCTCACGTTGTATGTCGTTGTACTTTTACTCGAGTACTGGGAGAAAAGGGAGAGGGTGTCTCTCTCTCTCTCTGTATGCGGCTCTTACAAACATCCCCGAAGGTGGACTGGATTTTTGTGTGAGCCGCCCTTTGAGGAAGCGTCCCTCCTCCCCCCTTCCTTTTTGGCGCAGCGAGAAGAATTTTACAACAAAACTCCCTCGCACGACACTAGGCACGGGACTGGCGCGCACTGGCGAGAAGAAACTCTCGTCTTGTGCCTGTGACATGTTGTTGTAGATTTGTAGCTTCGCGCCAAGATTCGCGCTCGGGGTATTCGTCTCATGCTCACTTGCGGCTCGCGCGTGAAGGCCCGCTACCTCGCAAGCAGCGGAGGCCCCGTCGGCACAAAATGGTTCCCCGCGATCATCACCAAGTGCAACCGCGACGGCACCTTCGATCTGACCTATGACGACGGCGACAAGGAGCAATGCGTCCTTCCTAAATTCATCAAGAATCTCGAGACTCCGTCGTCCGCCGCGCCTCCGGCCGCCGCGCCGCCGCAGACCTCCTCCGAGCTCTCAGCGTACGAGCTGGAGCGGGATGCTAACATCAGAGAGAACAAGGCGGCGCTCTCCCGGCTGGGTCTTGAGGAGGCGGCGGCGGCCTGCACGACCAAGAAGGAGGCCAAGCCGCGGGGCAAGAAGCGGGCCGCGCCCGAGGCGCGAGGGCCAGTGCGCACCAGCCGCCGGTTGAGTGGCGAGGTGCCGGAGGAGGTCTTCGTCGCGGATGAGGAGGGCAGGTGCAGACGATGTGCCCCGAGCTGGGGCCTGGCGCTGCGCATGCTGAGTTGTTTCAGCACTGCCCACCCACAGGCGAGTCGAGCTGGGCGGGGATGAGGAGCTGATCGCGAGCATGCAGGCAGCGCAGCAGGAGGCGACGCGCGAGAAGCGCGAGGAGGCCTGGGAGGCGGCGCGGGAGGCGGCGCGCCGGCGGGCAGAGGCGGAGCCTGGCGCCGTGGAGAAAGGGGCGGAGGAGCCGAGCGCGGACGAGTGGAACTCGCTCGACACGCCGCTCTTCCACATGAACACATTCATGGAAGCAAAAGCGGGCGTGAACAGGGCCTTTGGGCTCTTCCTGCACGGCGGAGTCGCGACACCAGGCTTTCGCCCGCTCGACGACGAGACGGCGAGGCAGGTGCAGGAGGCGTGGCCGCTAAACGCTGACTTCAAGGAGCCGCTGCGCGAAAAGATGATCGAGCAGCACGGGCGCAACTACGAGTCGGGGGCGAGGCAGCGGGCCATTTGGCTCACTGCCTGCCGGCCAGGCGCCTACATCCTCTGCCGCCACAACTCCAAGGGGTGCCCGCACACGCCGGCCGCACTCAAGGACGCGAGCGGCCGGTACCTCGGCGGGGTGTACGCCCTCGGCCGCGTCGAACACTTCCCGGCGCCGCAGTCGGAGGCGGACAGGCAGCTGACCGACTTCGCTTCGGACGAGCGGCTCGAGGGGCTGGGCATGTCGCGATACTACCTGCACGCGGTGGCCAAAGTGAAGTTCTTCGCGCTAGGCTACCTCGACGACCTCAAGCCGGAGACCGCGGGCTACATCAACAAGGTTTGCCAGCCGACGCTGAATCAGGTGCTCGAGGGCAAGCAAAAGCCGGGCAAGCCGCCGGAGGCTGAAAAACACCGCCGCTGCAGGGAGGACCTCTGGCGGACGGCCAAATGGCCGATCGAGCCGGAGCTCTTCGCGGAGGGGGCAGCGGCGCCCCCTTCCCTGGTCGACTAGACACTGGTCACTCTCCTCTTTCGTCTCTAGCACCGCACTTTTGTTTCTGTCGGGATTTTTCAGTTTCTTTGCCTGTTTCGTGTTCGCTCGAACATTCACAGAGAACAAAAGTACGGTAACACAGTACACCGTCCCGCACTGACTCTCGGAGTAGATAGTGGACATTGTGCGTCAATTTGTGCGCGGCCGTCGTCACCTCGACGGACGCCGCGGGTCGGAGTACGTGGGCCTGTCCTGCTGCAGCCTGAGCGACCTCTCGGAAAGCTCCTCCTCGGGCGAGATTGCGCCGCTCGCGTGGTAGTCGATGGGCGACATCGCGTCCGACTCGAGCACGTTGTTGTGCGCGCCGAGCATCGAGGCGCCGTCGGAGGAGCCGCCTCTGCTGCGCGGCTTCACGCGCCGCCTGCGCTCCGCGCCCTTCTCGCCGGGCGTCGTCGCGTGCGAGGGAAGCTCGAGGTGGCGGAGGATGGAGGCGATGGACGAGTTGTACCAGCGCTCGTGCTTGCCCGAGACGGTGCGGTAGCGCGCCTCGTAGATCTCGGCGGAGACGCCTGCGATGGCGGGGAGGGGAGGGGAGGCGGGAGGGGCTAGGTGGGGGGGGCTGAAGGAAGGGGAGGGTCGAGAGAGAGCAGAGAGAAGAGAGCGGGGAGGCGAGAGCGGCGCGCCGATGAAGTCGTCGAAGAAGAGGAGGACGTGCAGCCACTGCCTGTGACTCAGTGATCGCTCCTTCTCAACAGTGAGCCATTCACCGAGAGAAGAGGAGGAAGTGCAGCCGCTGGAGTGCAGCCGCCGCCTGCGAGGCCACTCGGCGATGAAGTCGCGCTCGGTGAGCTCCTCGAGCAGGCGCGCGTTGGCAGACATCTGCGTCG